CATGTGTTACATTTTCTTGTATGAATCGGTTGTTAGCAGTTTTCTGCTGATGCTTTTTTGTTCTGATTTTGTTGGTTAATTTCTAAGAGTCTATACAAACAGAATGTTCACTCTCTGTGACTGTACTCTTATTGAAATGATTACAATGCTTCCGACCTGGTGAACAATTGTTCACCAACTTTATACAATTGTATATGTTGGTGAGAAGCACTGGGGAAAATGTTCTCAATTCAGTCTCAGTTCAAGGTTAGACATAAATTGAATAAGTTGATAATTTTTGTGATACTTTAAAATAACTTCAACTTCTAACTTAGTAGTTGTGGGAATTTTTGGACATTTTGTCATTGAGTAATGCATATTTTGCCTCCACAGACAGAATGCCTGAATGAAAATGCTATTAGAGCCATAGACACAGTTTTCTTGTTTGTATGAATCTGTTTTTGTACCTGTTATTTTTTATGGTTTATTAAGCTGAAATAACATATAATATAGTTTCATTTGAAAATTAAAAAAATAGGTCACAGAACTATTATTATGATTAGTTGAAATGTGATCTTGACAACTTCAGTATGTGACAATGATTCATAAAGTAAGTACTCAGTATTGGGTTGACATAGTACCTTGTCAAAATAGTTTTATTTGGAAACAATTTATATTTCAAAACTTTAAAGTTATTTTATCTCATGTTACAAGTAGGTTGGCATGTAATTGAAAAATAAAATATTTAAAGGTTAGCATTCACACTCTGGTCCCTTTTAAACTTGCATGAAACAGCCAAATGGGCCAGCTTTCCAATAAAGGCCTTGTTTGTTAAAAAGTATCATAGATTAAAAATCCTAGAACTAATGCCAACCTCAATATTTCCTGCATGGGTAAACCAAGGCCGGTGACAATTTAAAGATTAAAATTATTTGAGGATTACACTGTCTATATTGCATAGTCTATTTCATTGATATTACTTAAGCCTCATAAAAATGTGTATAGCTTTATATACTTTTATTATATAGATATGAAACTGTGCCATTCAAAGTTTAACTGAAATTAATACATTACAATTTATATTTAATTATATTTATTTTTATTCAAAATACTTGTTATTATGAAGCTTGCCGGATAGTTGTTGTGAGCTTATGTATTTATTGTTTGAAGGTTTGTATGGCAAAGTAATAGCATATATGTTGAAGCTTGCGGTACACCACGTAGGTAGTTCTGAAAAGAACTGTTGTATGTATTTATTAATATTTTAGCCAACCAGGTACTGTACTATGCTAATTGTCCCATTTTATTCAGTCATGATCCACTCAAAGACATACCATACTTCTCCTGCAAGCCTTCTATTAGTCCCTTGAGAAATCTCAGCTAGTACTTTTCACTAATACTACTATTGTATGTTGTTTATCTCTTATTACCTTATTCAATCATAAGGTGATAATAGGTCATATAATTTCAATTCAATACATGTTCTCATATGGCTGATTAATCTGGCGTAGGCAGCATCTACAATACAATACAATAGCACAAACTTAATTCATCTTGAAACAACTGAATTTCATGAGCTCACTTTACCACAATGCTTTGTTTATTTTTGGTGGAGGCTCAATCTTTTCAATTGATCGCTCTAATTGTAGCAACGCCCCAATTCACTAAGTGTGTAAACAACTTATGAAATCTCTGAGAAGAGTGGTGTAATCCAGAATAATTTGTTGCAGGTTGGGAAAAAAAATGTACATTCTTTTGTTTGAAAGAGCTCTCACATGTTGTCTGCTACTTTTGTAGTTTCTTTGGGGTATTTTTTGGTCTTGCTTACAATCTTAATTTGTCTTGTTTGGTACCCCCTAACTTGAGCACCTACATTTGATGCCCACTAACTTGAGCACCTACATGTATGAGTATTGAATAGGCCTTCCATGAGCCTCACAGTAAATGAGCATGGTGTTTCATTTCTGAAAGCTTTTAGGTTTATAGTAAAGTTTTAGTTCCTTCTGTACTGCCTTAGGCATTGTTATCATTTATTTAGATTTAGATGTTTGTGTTATTAATGAAACTTGCTTTAATCATGGAGGAAAGAAAGTTTCTTTCCTTCATGCTTTTAATAATATTAGTGGTTGATCAAATCACCATGACAACCAAAACTATTTTGGTGATAGGATTAAATGAACAACCTGAATAAAAAACTGCAGCATGTTCTCCGTCTTCCAATTTTAAATAAATATCAACTTGGCGGGAGACCTGTATTTGATGTTCTTTTTTTTTTCATAGCTGGTGCTGAGACGGTTATTACAACTGACCAAGGGGTGAGGGGAGGTAAGACCATTGAACTTAAACGAACAGTAGACGAAGCTTTAAGGAAGTGCTCTTCTGTGAAGAGGGTGTTTGTTAGCAAACGGACTGGTGCTGATGTTCCAATGAATAAGCTTGATATCCCCCTAGAAGAGGTAAACATTGACAGATCCAGATTTTTTTTCAAACATTGAAAATGAAGACAATTTCTTTCTCTTCCTATTGTGTATATTTTTTTTTAATTTAAAAATGAAAAAAAATATTTATATTTAGAAAAAATTTTATCACAGGCAATGGCATGTGAGTCAACAGAATGTAGTCCTGAGATGATGTCCAGTGAAGATCTTTTGTTTATGTTGTATACATCTGGCTCAACAGGCGCCCCCAAGGGTTTAGCGCACACACAGGCTGGATATCTACTTTACACATCTTTAACACATCAGGTAAACTGTGATTTTTTTTTGTGGTGGCATGTATACTATCACTTCAAATTTAAGTGGATTTTATAAAATTATAGTACTGTAGTGTATTTTTATTTTCATTATATTATTTATTTAAGATCATGGGCCAAGAATATTACTCAGTTATACTCACATGTGATAATTTCTTTCACAAGACAAACATAACAGTACATAACATGTTTTCATGTGTATGTATAAAATATATATCTGTTTGTATTTAATACCTACAAACCTGATCTATTGTATTGTATTTTCATAGACTATCTTTGATTACCAGCCTGGAGATGTTTACGCCTGCGTTGCTGACATTGGATGGATCACGGGGCATAGCTATGTCGTATATGGGCCTCTAGCCAACGGTGCTACGACACTTCTATTTGAGAGTGTACCAACCTATCCTGACCCAGGTACTGTCAAATTGTATAATAGTAATAGTGATGTAATGCAAAAGATATGAGGATTTAACTTAACTAATATTAGTCTCTATTAAAATAATTTTGTGTGTTCTTACTAGGACGTTATTGGGAGATGGTTGAGCGCTTGAAGCTGAATCAGATATATGTTGCACCAACTGCGTTACGACTTTTAATCAAATCTGGCAACGACTATGTAACTAAATATGACCGCTCTTCTTTAAGGACTTTAGGATGTGGTAAGAATGTATATACAGTAGTTCATTATTTTATATAGCTCAAATTTAATTTATTTATTCAACATTATTCAACTAGGGTGACCATAACAGCAATGCTGACTTAATTAAAGGGGCCCTCACACAAAAAGCAACAAAATCAATTTGAAATTGCAACAGTTAAATGTGTTTTTTTTAAAAATGTTTTTGCAATAACCTAATTGTACCATTTTCAATTTTTTTTTTATCGTGTTCTGGTTTTAAGTGTTCCTTATTTCCACTCTTTTTATGCCAAATAATTAAGGAAATTAATGGTAGTACATGTGAGGTTTTTTTTGCCAACAACAATTCATGCAATTTCACTACTTGTCTCAGCAATACAAAACACTTCATACTGTAGCAACCCAATTTTTATTCTATTACCTATGATGTTTTCAAAATGTACATATATTTTTATGTTGTTATGGCAATATATTCTATGTACTTAGAATTTCCTTTGTTGTAAAATAAATATGTTCTACCTTTGAATCTGTGAATTGATGACCAATTTTTATTATTAGCATACCAACCTTTACAAAGTCTTTACATTCAGGTAAATATACCTGTCTCTTATACACATCTAGATGTGTATAATGTAAAGATAGGTTGGCTGTTCCACAGCTGCCATCATGTAAAGATAGGTTGGCTGTTCCACAGCTGCCATCATGTAAAGATAGGTTGGCTGTTCCACAGCTGCCATCATGTAAAGATAGGTTGGCTGTTCCACAGCTGCCATCATGTAAAGATAGGTTGGCTGTTCCACAGCTGCCATCATGTAAAGATAGGTTGGCTGTTCCACAGCTGCCATCATGTAAAGATAGGTTGGCTGTTCCACAGCTGCCATCATGTAAAGATAGGTTGGCTGTTCCACAGCTGCCATCATGTAAAGATAGGTTGGCTGTTCCACAGCTGCCATCATGTAAAGATAGGTTGGCTGTTCCACAGCTGCCATCATGTAAAGATAGGTTGGCTGTTCCACAGCTGCCATCATGTAAAGATAGGTTGGCTGTTCCACAGCTGCCATCATGTAAAGATAGGTTGGCTGTTCCACAGCTGCCATCATGTAAAGATAGGTTGGCTGTTCCACAGCTGCCATCATGTAAAGATAGGTTGGCTGTTCCACAGCTGCCATCATGTAAAGATAGGTTGGCTGTTCCACAGCTGCCATCATGTAAAGATAGGTTGGCTGTTCGATGTATAAGCGTGTGTGTACAAATTAAAGACATGTGAGCTTAAACTCCAACATAAACTTTATTGATTTAAGATTGTAGTATTGATTCAGCTATTGCTTACAGACGGGAATAGGAGAGGGAGATTCTGTTGCTATGGACTTGGATTATAGAATTATATAGAGGGCGCCATTGCACATTTAATATGCATTGGATTGTTCTACCGTATCATTACAAGCAGGACTGAATTATACGAACTATAATACTTTGTACAGAAAATAAAATAAATATTATGTACATCAAATCAACCTTCATACAACGTATAAAATCAGATTACAGTATCTACAAAAGTATTGTAGTAGTATACAACTATATAAAGAAACAATAAAATACACAAGTAATTGATTGTTTTACTTTTTATAGTCAAAAGAATTAGAGGGTAATGATGTGAGTGGTGCTCTTTGTATACGTAAGCCTTGGCCAGGAATGGCAAGAACTATTTATGGAAACCATCAGAGATTTCAAGAGGTTTATTTCTCACCATATCCAGGTAATATTCTCTATTTAAAGCCCTATCTACACTATAAAATTTTCTTGACAAAAAAAAACTGTTTGATGCCCATATATAGTCATCCTGTGCCTATGTACATGATGTGATGTCATCATGATTATATTTAGGCATGTCACATGTTTTTGTCAAATAAAATTTGATAGTCTGGACAGGGCCTGTATTACGAAAAATTTGGTTTGCTAGTGAAGTAGCCTGTGGGCTAGTACATCTGTAGTTAATCTAGCCAAGTGGGCAAGTCTTAAATTTTCTATTGAGCCATATCTTAAAAAAGAAATAAAGAAAAAAAATTCAGTGACACATAATTATAGTACACAACAATTAGTATTTGTCTTAGTCAGCCAAAGCCAAGTTGAATAGTTTATAAACCATTCTTCATCTTACAGGTTACTATTTTTCTGGTGATGGGGCAACCCGTGATGAAAATGGTTTCTACCATATTACAGGCCGTGTTGATGATGTCATCAATATCAGTGGTCATAGATTGGGGACAGCAGAAGTTGAAGATGCAATGGTAACTAATTATTATTTAGAATTTCATATTTACGTATGTCCTACCTGTATATACCAATTCTGGGTATGTTCTAATCTAATTAGAATTTCAAATCCAATTGTAAAGATTATTAGCTCTTATTATTAATGAGATGATTTATTTTAAAAATGCAAATGTGTATCTATATTAAAGTCTCTATCTTTTTACCTAAAAATTGTTTTAAGAAAAAAAAATATACACAACAGATCAAATCAAGATCACCCATAGTTCAATTGGTAAACATCAGTATTAGAAACTGTCGAGTTTTAATCATGTGGCACTGACTGACGTAGTAAAAACAATGACATACAAAAACTAATATGATGGACAGGGGTCTTATTAGATACAATCTTTTTTTCCTCACTACTGTATTTAACATCACTATTTGTTTGTATGGACAGGGGTCTTATAGATACAATCTTTTATTTCCTCATTACTGTATTTAACATCACTATTTGTTTGTGTATCTAAGGATGAACATCCAGCTGTTGCTGAAACTGCTGTGGTAGGATACCCACATGACATCAAAGGAGAAGGTATGCTTTATATTATACATATGTGGTTCAATGGTAAAACTTTGATGTCCAAGCAAAGGGTTTGAGTAACAAGTATGATTTCTCTGTTGTTCAGGTGTGTATGCATATGTAATTTTGAAGGATGGTGTAACACAGCCTCAACCTGAAATTCTTGCTGAGCTGAGGTCAGAAGTCAAAAAACAAATTGCATCTTATGCGGTTCCTGATTATATACAGGTGAAGTGAATAATTCATTCAAGTTTCTTTATAAATCACATACAAATGTGAAAGGCTGATAACACTGCTAATAATAATAATATACATATAAGCATTTGGACTCTCAACCTCGTGTGGTGGTGGTGGGTGGGGGGGGGGTTGAAACTCTCGCTGTGCAAGTCACTTGTATCCTTGGACAGGACACTTTACCTGCATTTGTCTCTACCCAGGAGTATAAATGGGCACCGGCATATGCTAGGAGGGTAAACAGACTCACTAGGAGGAGTTGGAATCCCCTCAAATCGCTGCATAGTCTGGCGCCCCCAACACTTAAAAGAGAGGGATGGGCACTCCTGACCTGTACATGTTCGACTACCTTTACCTTTTAAATATAATTAACGTATACATGACTATATAAAATGAAAATTGGAAATATACACACAATAATTTAGCTAATTAATTAATTTAAATGTATACATGCCACATATTACTTTGTTTTTAATTACCATCCATTCATTCTTATGTTAAAATAGTCTACTTATGTTTATGATACAAAAATATTTGTCCTCTTTGTACAGATAACTCCCGGCTTGCCCAAGACAAGGTCTGGAAAGATTATGCGAAGAATATTACGTAAAGTGTGTGCGAACCAATCAGATGAGCTAGGTGATATAAGCACGTTGGCTGATCCTTCTGTCGTTGAGATTATTGTGAACAATCATGAACAAGTTCTTAAAGAACAAAAGAAATAACTGTTGTCATTGTTGTCAACCAATGTCCATGCAGTTCCAATGTAATAGTAAACACAAAATCATATGAAAGAAGTAAGTAAATATTATATTCACTATATATTTGAAACTTTGTGTATTATTCAATATGAATTTGTAATTGCAATTTTCCAAAGAATATGCTGTTGTGAACATTTGTAATAGTTAAATAGAAAATATACATGGGTAAGAATAAAAAATAGGCTCAGAAATATTAAAGAGATAAAAATAAATATATTTTCAAAAATATTCAATTTTAAAACATGTATATTAATAAATATAACTGGACACAATGGAAAATGTTAAAGTGCCATTAAGCATAGTTTCCTTAAATTCACTACACTGGAACAGTGTTTTCACTGCCATCAATAATATTCATGTGATTTTCTTCTTTTTGTTGCAACCCACTGAAAAATATAGGCAACCCATAAAGTGTTAGTTTATAGCATCCTATTGTTTTTCTTGTTGCACAGTCTGTGATATTATGTAAGAGTATTAAAATGGGGAGTGGGGGATAAGTAGTGGCATATCTTGAGGTGTGAACATGGGGATGATCATGATGGATGCCCAATGAGGAAGTGGTGGGAAAATTGTTATTTCTGTTTTAGTTTGCCATCCCAGTGTGTGGACATCTGCCTGTCACTGACTGGAGAAAGCATGTTTCCAGTTGACTTGCCACACTGCAGCAAGTTTTTTTAGAATAAGGTGATATTAGATGATCTTAATAGCCAATTTTCAATGTGATATGGTGGGGGTGCTTGGGGGAATGAACTTGACTAGGACAACTTGCCACCAGCATTTTCCCTGAACTATGCTACTGCTGAAAGTGGGAAATGAATATGTGAGGGAGTGTGAGCTACAGAAAGTATTTGCCAGCATTATTTTTACATAGAATTTTGTTGTATATTCCATCAATTGCCATTTATCCTATTTTATTGTTTGTGTATTACAGTATTGTGAATTATGTTAGCATAAGTAACTGTATTACTATCCTTGAGTTTATCTTTGAACCTTGGTTTGTACTTTTTTATGGAATTTTAAGTTTGTCTTCAGCATTATAATCAATGTCATTAAGTGCTAACTGCTGGGTGGTGGGGAATGTGTATATTTGTCTTACAGATATTGATGATGGAATTTTGTAAATAACTACTTGAATAAACGAAGAAAATAGAGTGAAAACAATAACTTCACTACAGAGTCTGTATTGATGTACTGTTTAGTTCAGCATTGGACTGTTATAGGGAAATGAATGTTAGGTTTGTTCATAAAGGGTGTGTACGGCTAGTGTTGTATAGGGGTTGAGGAGATTGCAGGAGGTAACATTAGTATCGGTTAGGGGTAGGGCAGGGAAACTCACACTTGACGTCCGTTTTATTTTATTCGAAAGAATATTGTAATTAAAAAGCTTAAATCTCAAATCACTCCCATGTACATATATTGTGTTGTGGGTTGGGAAGTGGGGGGCTGACTGTGTGTGTGTTTGTGCGTATTAGTGGCCACTGTCAATTGAAAAGCATTTAATACAAATTTAAACAGACTGAAAAGACATTTTGTTTACTTGTTACAAATTTATTGCAAGTCTTACAGAAAACAGAGTTAACACATGCAAAAAAATATGTCAATACCAATTCATCTTCTTGTACATATAGTATTATACATGCTTTTGAAATTATAAATATATATATACTATTTCATCATTTTCATTGGAAATTACGTGGTTGTAAAGATGTTTCTCATTCTCAAAGACATGATACAAATATTTTAGATTTTTAAATACAAGTTAAACATATACATACTGTATATATATTATTTAAATTTTTTTTTTTTTTTATAAATATTTTATTTTGAGACAGATACAAAACTTTGTTTGACTTCTTATTTTATATATACAAATCTGTCTATGCAGCAACTCTATATTTATTTGGATATCTATATATATATCTATATTTTATATATATATATATTATCGAAAATATAAAGGTTGTACATATACAGTAGTTCATTATATTGTGGCTTCTATGGTAGACATCGATAAACTGTCTACTTTTTAGGATGGACGAATGGATGATTCTATTACTAAAATTATCACAAAAATTTCTTATTAAATTATTTAGATATGTTCAAATAATTATCAGCGTACAAGTTTTATAACACATCAGTTATCATTTCAAAAATATTCATACTACAGTATTTAAATGTAAATTAATTTCAACTATTAAACTTCTTTTCAGAAATTCATACTAAATCAAAGACAATATCTAATTTATTAATATCTAATTATTAATAATTTACTAACATCGAATTATTAATAATGAATACAAATACCAACATGCATGCTATTGGTATACCACAGCAATATATAATACTATTTATAAACACATTATTTTAATTATTATTATATTGTGTTTTGTGAATCTCTGGTCAGTAGCAGTGACTCTCACAAGACTTGACTACTAGGAGAAGAAAGGTGGTTATTAAGGTTAAATACTATTTATTTTTTTATAGGCAAA